CGAAAGACTGTGGAAATGCAGGCAGTGTCTGTGGATTCGTTTGCGGGGGTAAACTCGTATACCTACTCTGTTGATGAATATTATTTTGTTGAATAGAATTTTCGAACGATTGCGATTGTTGACCCGAACTATTCCAAATTGTACCCGAATCTCCTAAATTGTTGATTCCTCTGGTTGGCGGACTTGGCGGACTTTGAGAATTCCTCGATCCAGAACCGGAACCAGAGCCACCTCCACTACCACTACCACCACCCCCACCACCACCACCACCACCGCCACCACCACCGCCACCACTACTACCACCACCACCGCCACCAGAACCCGATCCAGAGCCAGAGCCTGAATTCGAACTCGAACTTAAACCTAGCCCCAAAGCTAATCCTGCACCTGCCATGAGTTCCAAATCGTTTTGTCTTTCGATGCTTCTTTTTCCTAAATGGGGACTGAATGCAGTTTGATGCTGCTGCTGCTGCTGCTGTTGTTGCTGCTGCTGCTGCTGCTGCTGCTGCTGCTGCTGCTGTTGTTGTTGTTGATGTTGATAATGATGTTGATGCTGATATTGGTGTTGAATTTGATGCGGATGATGATGATGGTGGTATTGATATTGATGTTGGTGCTGATGTTGATGCGTATGAGAGTGTGTTCTAGACGAGCCAAGAGATCCCTCGAACGAAGGCGGATGTTCTGGTGGGGGTGGTAGCATATCGCACCAATTCGGGGGTTGACTTTCATTTGGTAACGGCATTCTGTATTGATGAGCTCTCCTTTGCGCTTCCGTATTATCATCTGCGTTATAAACGCTACTGGCATTGTCGCTACTCGGCGACACGGTCGATTTGTTTCGATCTAGATTTGAATCTAAACTCGAATAGTCCGGCTTAAGGCAAGAGTCACTCGAATTTGATTTCCGACCATTTGTTTCTATCGAATCTGGACTACGAGTAGGCATGCAGAGTGTCGTTGTTGCGTATGGTTCTGGTGGAGCTTGCAACTGTTTGCGGGCATTGTAAAATGTCGTTAAATTAACCTCAGCGTACTCCGAGCCGGTCATACCAACGAGACTAGGAGGGAGACCGATTTGATTTTGATTACTTAATAGTTTTGTTTCGCAATCCTTATCGGTAGAAGAGGGCTGGAGGGTGTTGCTTGGCCTCCAACCGCGTTCCAACCACAGAGTGTCCTTGTTTAATTGACAAATGTCGTTAGCTGTACCGACAGGAACGTTCAAGTGACCGAGTTGTTTACTGGTCGCTTGTCTTCGTCGAACATAAACAGCTCCCAATAAAGCGGCGATAACAGTCAACACGACTGTTATCATTAGGATGAGAAACCAAGTTTTATTAACGACAGATGCATTTCTTTGGCTCGGATCTGTTTGCGGCGGTAACTGCGTCAATTGTCCCGGGTCCATGTTCAAAACAATAGGATTTGAAAAAGGTCCAAGACCTACGCGAGTTAATCCGGCAACACGGGCCGTATAAAGACCACCTGTCGTTAAACTATTGATAATAACCGATGTCGTTGACGCATTTAAAGACATTTGTCCGAGAATCTTGTTGCTGCTATTGCTCTTGATTTGAATCTGTTAAAAAGAAACGATCCGTTAATATCTGTTAAAATCGAAGATGACATTATTCTCAAAATGTAAAGAAACATAGTAAATAAGACAAAATTCTACTAGCTCGATTATTTTTACCTTATATCCTATTAATTGTCCGTTTTGCGTACTTTTCGGCGGTGGAGACCACCGAACGAACGCCGAAGTTACATTTATCATGCCAACATGAACATTTTCAGGTGCTCCAGAAGGTACATCTTCCAGCGTAGTTGCTAATTTCACATTACTCGGCCGCCCTTCGATGGTCTTGTAAAAAGGAACTAGAAAAAACTCGTGACGCATGTACTTGTTTAGGTTGGTTAAGACATAGCTGGTTGCTCCGGCGTTCAGTACCGTCACCATTCGATATTCCGGTTTCTCGGAAACTTCACGATACCTTATGTACAAGCCTTCGACTAAATCAGCGGCTCCGAGTATCTAAAGATTCATAGGGGAAACAACATAATAAGCCGGAAAGTAAATAAATAAGGACAATTTTGAATAAGGAATTTCGACCAATTCGTTCCATGTTAAATCGTTGGAGGAAAAACGAACAAACGGATGAGACGTGGTTGAACTTTTATCTTTAAATATAACTTTCCTAAAGTAAAGCTAATTATTCGCAATGTTTATTCGTTTATGTTTTGTACAAAGTTTAAGTTACAGATCCTTGGAACGACTGTATATATGTATGTAGATCGTTTTGATCTTTTACTTACATCCCAGACAATCTTTACGCTGGTGCTACTCAAAGGCTGAACATCCTTTAAATAAAGAATATCACTGTTGAGACGATCTCTCGCTCGGATCAGTTCAGTTTGAGGAATGGCGTGTTGATCGAAATTGGTGGTACGCGCGATATCCGAAAAAGGAGCAGGAACGGAAAGACCTTGGGCGTTTCGAGCACGAACGAGGAACACGTAACCCGTATCGGGCTTGAGATTTGTTACCTGTAAGGGAGAAAGAAGAAAAGGGGTTACCATTACGACAGAATATCGTATTCTTCCTATGTCTGTCGTATATATTTACATATTCTTACAGTGTAAATGCCGTCTGCTATTCCGGTTCCGGCAACGATCCAGCTGGTTTTTGGATTTGTAGCAAAATATTCAACGGTATAATCGATTATCTTACTAGTGCCTTCGTGTCCTGGACTCCAGGTGAGCGTGACCGTGCTACTAGTAGTATTCACTATTCTTGGTTTGCTTGGAGATTCGGGAAGTACCGATATGTCTGGCACGATGCCGTGATAATTTGCTCCCGGATTAACCGTTAAACTAGCTGTCCATGACGTATTCCCGGACTCGGAGGATGCAACACACTTGTATATTCCGCTGTCGCTTAATTGAAGATTTTTTATAGAAAGAGTGCCGTTACTAGCGACTGCGAATCTATTATCGTTATCGATTCGTACAAGTTGATCGTTCTTGTACCATCGGATCGTCGGAGTAGGTCTTCCAGATACACGACACGGCATCAAAACATCACTCTTGGGTAGCGACGTTTGATTCGTTGGACCAATCTCGATGACAGGAGGTGGAACCTCTTCGATCGATGTTACCTATTAGTAAAGAGTATAACAATTTAATAATAGCAATGATAACAGCATCGACGACGACGACGAAAGATAATAATCCATCTTTCGATATTCATTCAGATACATTTATGAGAGTACTCTGCTTGTACTCGGATAGACCTTTCTATGAACTTTGCATTTTTATAAGAAACATCGAAAAGAAAAAATGTCGGGTCCGAGATGGAGAATCTAGACGGTTGGTAGACAAAGGTTATATCGTTGAAACAATACCTGAAGAAAAACTGTAGCTGTGGTCGCACCAGCTTGGCTGATTGCGCTACAAACGTAGTGCCCCTCGTCTTTTCCAAGAATACCTTTAACGTGTAAACTTCCATCCTCCGTGATTTTGTAACGCCCTTGATATTCGTTTCCAGGAAACATTAATTCTTGCGAACCTTCGCGAGTCCAAAAGATTGAAGGCTTGGGTGCGCCTCGAGCAGCGCAAGAGAAGGAAACGTTCGAGCCGACGCTGACTATTTCGTCTTTCGGAAAACTGGTGAATATTGGCCTCGCTAAAAAGAGTAAAAGAAAGGAAGAAACGGAGGGAAAAGAAAAAGAAGGAGCGAGAGGAAATGAGAAATGCGTTAGAAAAGATAACGAAAGATAAGGACGTATCGCGTGGTAACGAGACTGTTAATCGAGACTATGGTAGATAATGGTTAACCTGCTACTTACAATGTACTATCAAAGTTGCACTGGCCGATATGGCACCGACGCCGTTTTCAGCATCGCAAATATACGTTCCTTGATCCTGCGATGTCACTCTTTCGATTCGCAAGCTCTTATCGTCCAAAATATGCGCGCGACCGATCGGCATTTTTCCATCGTTTCGACGCCAAAGAATTTCAGGTGCAGGATCACCACCTACGCGGCAGGCAAATTCGGCCGTCTGGTCCGCCAGGATCGTCTGATTGGCAGGCGTCGACAAAAAGTATGGCTTCACTAACGATAAAAGACAAATGGAAAAATTGAAATGTACTTTGTACCATATCGAGATATATTTTTTCCTAAATTAGAAGATATTAGAGATATTGTTTACCGTGAACTGTCAAGGTTGCCACTGCAGATTCCTTCACGCCTACCATATTCTCGGCAACGCACTGATATTTTCCCTGGTCCGTTTGCCTGACCTCGGAAATCATTAGATTTCCTCCATCTACCAA